TCAATGTTTATACCATATTCTAACTCTTAACAAAAACTCTAAAGAAGATAAGTTTAGCAATACTCTGACTTACCTGATCATCCTGCAAAGGAATGGCAAATCCAGTATAGTGCCACTATGGCAAGCATCAATAATAGCATGCAGCCGAACCCCGCGAGGAAGAGGTCTGACAATTGTTGCATTGATCTCATCATCAACAATCATACCCTGTGTTTCGAAATCCAGAGGACATAGAGTTTCATCATATCCATCAACTTCATCACCATTATAGTTTCTTTGCCGTGAACCATGGCCGGAATAATGAAACAGTAGAGAGTCACCAGGCTGGCAGCCTTGCACAAGCCAATGTAATGCCATCCTTAAGTTTAGCTTACTAGGAATGCTGTATGGATTAGTCTCTTCTTCTGCATTCCAAAATACGGATATTGACTTTCACATCCCTCTTCAAATCAAATAGTATGTTTATGAAATAGAAAAATCCACAAACTGAAAGCAAATCCAAGCTGTAATGCATGTTTATCTTCACAGATTAAGCAATGAATGGCAGAGGGCATACGTAGTAGCAGGAAGAATTTATACACCATAGAAACCAGATACATTCTAGTATAACGGCATTAATTACTTCCCGGCCTTGAAATTCCAAATCGAGAATTGTAAGAATTAAATTGAGTCCAGAATCAAAAGATCCATACGCGAACTCGCAAGTAAAGAAACCGAAAAATGGAAACAGAACGAAAACGCACGGAATAGAAGATGAAGAGGAGAGAGGAGATACCGGTGAGCATGAGAATGGAATCCGAAGGAAAGTTGAATTTGTTAATCAGGAGGTAGCGCATACACTTGGCGTCATTGATGCAACCCTTGAGCTCGTGGCGAGAGTACCTGTATGATATGCCGCATATTACAGCTCTCTTCTTTCCGTGGGCGTGAGGGAGCTGTCCTGGCGGCGCGTGGTTATAGGGCGATGGAGAAGAGGCCGGCGCGTTGGCGGAGGAAAGAGAAGACGGTGGAGCGGTTCGAGGCTCGGCGATATGAGTAACGGCTTGACAGATAGCACATCGGATAGATCGGGCGTTCGGCGGCAGCTGCAACGGTGTCCGGCAACCAGAGCAGTTGACCAACATCGGCTGCGCGTACATGTTCGGCGGCCTGTACATCTTGTTGCTCCCACACTTTTCTCTCTTCTTTTTTTGAATTTAACAACTGAATTTTTTTGCTTGCAGATTGATCGTCAATGCAGTTCTGGTTTCCGACCCTCCACCAGCCTCAAGAGAGAAGAACGGCGGCAGAGCAGATATAAGAAGACAGCGCAACTACGTAAGCGCGTAAGCTACTAAACCTCGTCATCGTAAGCTTCAACGACGCCGTCTCAACAAATTATTTAGAAAGCTGACGTTCTTTTTTTTTTTTTTTTAATTGTTAGATATTTTAATATTTTTAACATTAAACCTTATTATTAAATTTAATAGTAATGATAAAATTACTATGCTTTTTTTTTTATTTTAATAATAAAATTATCATAATGACCTCAATAATTTATATTAAAATAACAAGAATATATAAAAATTATTAAATAAATTAATACTAATAGTAACAGAAATTTATAAAAAGTATTTTTAATTATTTAAAAAATTATTTTTCTAACAATTATTTAAGTAATTTATTTATTTTTTCCACGATAAAGATTGAGAAAATAATTCATTTATTATTTAAATTATTTTTATTAACATAAATTATTAACAAAAAATATTTTTTATATCTTTAATAATTATTAATTTTTAAATAAATTTTTATATATTTTATTATTGAAAAAAATATTACATAGGTATTTTTATTATTAATACGAGATAATAGAAATAATGAGTGCTCACAAGAGATTTTACAAATAATGAACGTATTCATTTGCATTTACGAATCTCATTTATATTTATTATTAGAGATATTATACACAATAAGTACTCATTTATTTAATTTATAATTATTAAAAAATAAAAACATATAAATTTAAAAAAATCACGTCGACAAAAAATACGATAAAAATTATTTTTTTCACACGAGAAACTTGATAAATTTAATAATAAAGATGCCAGCTGCGATATAATTGTTATAGTCATTTGGTGAAGAGAAACTTGACAACAAGTTCTCAGTAATCAATTATGAAGATATAAAGCTTACATACTTTTCAAGAATAATTAGTCATAGAAGTCATAGTCATTGAGAACGTGACTATCACTCAAGATATGTAAAAAAATATCAATAGATATTAAGTATTATTGTACATTTATAATTTATAAATTATATTAGAGTCGAGCATAAACCCATTGTCATTATTAAATATGAGCTTTATTTCAATTATATATGATTCCGAGTTTGGTTATTTGTCAATGAATAATACAATATAATTCATTTAATATGAAGAGTTTATAAACGCCCAAATCCCAAAATAATAGTGTTACATAAAAAATATGGTATATATTTATAACTTAAAAACTTAAATAACATCAACGACCACTTTTGAGTAATGAGAAAAGCTTGTGATGGTCTTGTGTTCTTTGCAGTTTACACCTTTTTTATTTCAACTTCGGAATGATTCTTTGAAATAAAATATGTGAGTTATTGTTAGTTCGTAAAGGTAGTTACTCTTAGTTTAGATCATGTACTCGAGAGATCTAACTTTAATCATAACGAGTAATCTATTTAAATTAGATCCGACACTCTTGTTACTTATTCAACATCGACCTACTATAGTTTTGAATTCTAATGGATAACACCCATAGTGTGCAAAATCATGTATAAAAAAAAATAGTACAGGAAACATCAAAGATAAAACTCTGACTCAGAAAAATACTTTGCCTAAAGTTGTGTAAACCAGTACAAAGTTTTATTGCAATTATGGCTTATTATGACCATAAGACATGAAAAATGAATGTCAAAATAGATTTTTTCAATGAAAAATGGAATAAGAGGTATATATCACACAATCAGATGTGCTTAAAACTAATCAATCATCAGAGAGTTTATAAAATAGAAACGTCTACGGACTTCAATGAACATAGAACAGTTAGAGCGTCTATTTGATGAAATGGTCAAGGAGTTTAATGTCATACAATGAATATAAATTGTGTTCATACCTATTCAAATAGGTAATTATTTAGTGATACAACATCTCAAGTTTCGGTTATCCAAAAACGCTTCAATGAAAATTTGGTTGAAACAGCTTGAATCTTTCTGGTAAGAATTTGTAGGAAGAGATATAGAAGGTTGGTTGACATGCCTCAATATAACACTTAGATATCATGCTAAAAAGGTTCAACATGGAGGGTTCTAAGCTAATTTCTCATGAAATCTTTCTTGTTCTAAAGATCTCCTTAGACAACCTAAGAAAGGGCAATATATGAAAGAATTTTATGCTTAAAGAATAGAGTCGACCTAAATCGACCTAAATGTTACCAATCAATTTCGGAACAACCCTAGTAAGGATTATTTAAGGGTAGTGAAAACTACTCTAAAATACCTAGAGAGGACTAATGATACTCTTGTAAATAATAGTGACAACGTCTTCTTTCAAATCATGCAACAGGGAGCAACAGGGAAAAGACATGGTTTAAAAAATTCACAACCCCATATTCTTGTTCACAATTAACAACTGTTTAAGAAGTTAATAATCCCATATTCCATATATGTACTACTCTTTGACTATACAGTCATGGACACACTCAATATGCTATTCGCTTTACTAGAATGAAACATCAGCTTGGCAATTCTGCTCGTTGACTGTATTATAAGATGAGTTGTTTCCTTCACTTTTGATGTAATCAGGTAATAAGGTTAAGATTTCAGCTGGAAAAAAAAAAAAAGCGAGATAAGTGCTCACTGCAACGCTGAAATTAGGTGTGGTCTCGGCCACACCACCTCGAACGGATAGCTGCTGATCTCTAACCTTCCCATCCCTTTCAATGTAGAAAATGAAATCAACACTACTGATGGTTGAGTTAGTCAAGAGCAGATCCATTTTGAATGTAACTAAAGTTGGATGGGTCAAGGTTTCACCTGTATACCACCAACTTATATTACATATAGCTCAACTTTACAAAATACCACCATGAAACTAAAGAATTATTAGAGAGACATCGTCACCATTACCCCTTCTTCCTTTCTTTCCCAACCTTCTTCCCTCTTATTATCCAACCCCCTTTAGCTACAAGTTTTCCACCTCCAATTTTTATACATGGTTTCAACTTTTAAGAGATCTTCTGCAAGCGAGTCATGAGGCCTGTCCAATAGAACAAACAGTTAAACCAGAGGCCATCATCCCCGCACTGCTGTCTCACACTTTTCAAATCAGAAAACAACCACGGTTGTAAGTGCTTCACACCACAGGAACTGGAATGTTGTCAATGTTATTGTTATGATGCATTTGTTTTTGGACAGCCTTAACTGCTGCTACTCTAGCTGCATTAGCTGCCCTATTTGCTGCTGCTACTGCCCTGTTCACCCTCTCATCCACCTTGGCCACATCATAAGCTTTCTCAGCCGCTCGTCTTGCCTCCTGAGCATCAATCAAATGAAACAATCCGTCAGTTACATTTCATTCTATCAAATAGCAAGAATTAGGAAGTTTGTGGCAGTTCAAATTGTATCAGCTAGGGGAAGATTGTCCTACCTCGGGCTGCATGACTGATAAGGTAAATACTAACACTAACCATTTTGCAAACTAGAACATTAACCAGTTCACTTCTTTGTATTCCTCTACAAGAAGATTATATTGTGTTGAAGGTACATAAATGACTGTAGCAGAGTTTTGTTATTCATTAAAACCTGTTCATGGAGCTGCCTGCTAAGATGATCTGGAGGTCAAGGCGCCACTAAGGGTGGCTTTTTTCCTCTGGTAGGCTGCTAGAGAACGTATTGACTCTGGATAAGCTAATTAGGAGGGGAAGAACCTTGGTCAATGGTTGTTACATGTGTAAGAGGTATGTAGAATCATGTAACTGTATCTTGTTGTGGTGTACTTTTGCCTACCGCTTGTGGACCGTAGAATCATGTAACTGTCTATGGTTTACTGGGCATCAAATGGGTGATTGCTGGCCCAGTTAGGAATGAGATTAGGGCATGGCATGGGGTTAATAGGGACAAGAGGGCAAGCCTCATTTTTTGGCTATGTTCTGGACCATATGGAAAGAAACGAATGGGAGGACTTTTGAGGCTACAAGTCGAACTGCGATAGATTCAAAAATTATTGGTTCCAGAATCTAGTTTTTTTATTAAGGGTTATGCTCTTTATATTTTTCAGGATTTTGGCACATGATAGATATTCTGCTTGACATGTAAATTTGTACGGTTGCACCCCTTTGGTGTTTGTGAATATATATGTATATTATACTTTTTCTTCCAACAAAAAAAGCTGTTCTGGAAAATATTCTTCGAAGAATGATATTTCATAATGCTATTGATTCAATAACTTTTATAACACCTGATTGTTTCAGCTTATGCTATCACCTATTCCAGATACTTACGAAACAATTTCCATTTACATTCAATCATCAAGACAGTGGAGAGTATATGTGTGCCCATTCTATAACATCAAGGAGGTTGGAAGAGTCCGAATCTGAAGGAGAGATAAAACCTAGGTAAACCAAATTAACAAGCACCGGCACCACACAGCACTTGCATCAGAGCATCACATGTAAGTGATAAGCATGTAAGAGGTAGAAGAAGCTCAGGCAGGTTCCTCTCTTCCAGTTTCACAGGGCGGATAAATCGCCGCCTTTCCTTTACAAATTGATTTGGAAGATCAAGGTACCCCCAAGGATTTCTTTTTTTGCTTGGGAAGCTTGCAGAGAGTGCATTTTGACCATTGATAAACTTAAAAGAAGGGGTTTAATTTTGGTTAATGCTTGCTACCCATGCAAGCAGGCAGAGGAAAGCTGCTGTCACCTGCTGTTACAGTGCCCTGTTGTCTACAAATTACGGTGCACGGTCTATTCTTGTTTGGGTATCAGTTGGGTTGGCTCAGGTTCTGTCAAAGATGAGATTTGGGCTTGGAAGTAACTCAATAGCCACTGCATTCTGGCCAATTTAATCCCTATTACACTTATGTGGTCTGTGTGGAAAGTTAGGAATTGTAAAGCTTTTGAGGGTCTTGGTGACACTATGGGTTTTGATGTTTTGAAGATGAGTTGGCTTGGTACCCTTGAATTTTTGCTTACGGGTCACCATCCAGTTTATCTTGAGTTTTTCAGGAAGATTTTAGTTATGGAGGACTAAGCTGTAAATAACTTGTACGTGTTTCTCTTTTTCTGCACTTCAGGTGCTTATAGTAATATAATCTTACTACTTTTCATTCCAAAAAAAATGTAAGAGGTAGAAGAAATGAAGTACCTGTACAGCATTCAGTACTTTAGAATGATAAACAGCAACAGATGATGTAGTATATGTTGTGTTCTGTGTGCTTGGGACATCAAGAATTCCATTTTGCCAATGACCAGATTGAGTTTCCCCATTTCTAAAAGTGTACATTCCAAGACCTTGCCGTCTTCCCTCATGCCAGGCACCCTCATACCGATGCCCATTGGCAAAGTGATAAACTCCAAATCCATGCATCTTGTCAGCAAAATATTCCCCAGCATATGTGTCCCCATTCCTAAATAAAAGATTGTCATGTATTAGATGAAACTTTTCAAACATTTACAACATGTTGTACGAACAATGGTTCGGGCTACAACAGCTGGAAAGGGCAACAGCAAAAATCCTAAGCTAAGTGAATCCACAGGGGGACTCACTTTAAAAAAAGAACCAATGGAAGTGTATGAAATTGAAAGCCAATACCCAGAGGGTGAGCATATTCATATTTGAGCAAGTTAGAAAGCTTTAAACAAGAAAGGAAAGATAAAAGTAATATAACAACGATATCAGAACAGGCTACTAGTCCTAATAATAGAAACAACTTTAAAGCTAAGTGAAAAAGGCATGTAAACGTTGTAAGTCATGAACCGAGGAACTGTAAAGAGTACCAGGTAGTGATGAACCATTGAGGTGGACACCATGATTAAATAGAAATACATGTAGCTAATACATGTAAAGTAATAGGGCTGAAATAAAGCATCCTGTGAATGATCCCACATGATCCCAGTTAACATTGTCCCCCTCCAATCTAGCAAATTAAGAGCATCTACTACTATCTAAATAATAGCAACTACAAGTCACACTGATGATCTTCTGTAAATATCAAAAGTTTCTGAACTGGGACTCCATTGACAGATTAGACATATAGATAGGATTGCAAACGTCATTTTGCACATGCAGAACTTCTAATCATTACCAGACATATATTTCACTGAATCAGCTGGAGATACACAGCAGTTGTCAATTGAAATTTCAAAACAAGAAGAAAGCAAGGAATTTTCAGCAGCAAAATTACCTGAAATGGTAATGTCCAAGGCCGTGTTTTACGCCCCACTTGAATTCTCCAACATAGCGACTGCCATCCTCACAGGTATGAACACCACAGCCATGACTCTGCCCACTTGACCACTCGCCAGCATAAACATCTCCTGTATAGAACCTGTACACCCCAAACCCATGCCTAAGACCTTGCCGATACTGCCCACGATAGCGGCTTCCTCTCGCCCAAGTCTCCACCCCATATCCGTCATACTTCCCATCAACCCAGTCCCCCTCGAACCTCCCACTCATGGAATAGTAATATACGCCGCTTCCCGAACACTTGCCCTTGTGAAATTCACCTTCGTATACGTCACCGTTGCTGTAAACCTGAACCCAACACCCTGAATTAGCTCTCTTTTCGGACTTCGGACGCGACCCAATAGACCAAAGCACCGGAAAGGGTGGCCTGGCTATGGCAGAGGAAGAGGTAAGCTTAATCGGGAAGGAACGCGCAAGGAACAAGCGTATTGAAGGGAGGCGGGGGACCGCGAGATTGAGGGAGAAGAGAAGCGCAGCAGAGAAGGCAAACGCCGAGAGGAAATCGAGAAGGAATGAATGGCTTGGATGCGAGACCAAAAAGTAAAAGAAGGGAAGTAATAAGAGAAGAATCAAACGAAGGTGGACACGAAGCCGGCGGAGATGCTTGAAACGGCGGATAAAGCGATAAACAGCCGATTTAGCAGCCACGGAAACAGAAAAGAGAGATGGGTGTTGAGGATTTAGAGGCGGAGTAGGAGAGAAACTGTAAAAAGTTGGGGATTTGGATATAGAAGTGGAGTGGTGGGCCTGGGTCAAGAGGGGTCTCTTGTAAGGGGTAGGGGACGAGGAAGAAGATGATGGAGGAGGGGCAATTGGGTCATTTTGAGGCGGCACCTGCGCGACAATTTGAGGAATTCTCGTCAAATTTGTGAAAGGAATTCCTGTGGTCGTATTATCAAACAGCTGTTGCTGAGGCGACTGATTCTGATTCAAAGAAGAAGAAGGGTGTTTCTGATGAATAGAAGAAGAAGAAGAAAAAAGTAGAAGAGGAGGGGTTGGGTTGTAATCGGAAGAGACGCCGCTGCTTTCTTTTCCGATCTGAACTTCGGATTTCTTCTGATGCATTACATAAGGGGAAATTCGTCCTGTTTATCTCCTGGAATTGGTAATCTGTTTGGTTTAATCCCCAATTTCTTTCTACTTGGAAGTTGAAATAAAGGGAAAGGAATCGATGATGATGGTAAAGTGATGATTGGATGGTTGGTTCAGAGGAGAGTGATATATGGGTCTGTCTAGATATAGAGGGTATGCATACATATAGGAGACTGTATATTTATAGATTTGGGAGAGAGGGAAGGGGATTATAGAAATGGAGCGGTGCGTGCGTGGAGCCTATGGTAATGAGAGTTGAAGATTTATTTGAACCAGAGAGCGAGAGAGAGAGAAACACAGAAACGGGAAAGAGAGAGAGAGAGAGAGGGAGAGAGAATCTCCATAAGTAGGGCTCTTTAAGAAACCTAAAGTTCCATATATACCCTTTCATTTACTCTTAATTACATTTTTGCCACTCTCTCTCTCTCTCTCTCTTTTTTTCAACTGTCATTCAAATTTTAAAGTTCTTTTACATAAAATTAGTCTAGAAAAAGTTTAAATTTAATGCATAAAAATAATATTTATTGCTAAACAAAATATATGTTGACTAAAAATTGATTTAATATTGTTTTTCTTCTTTTCCCTAAATATATATATATATAAAGGGAAATACTTAATGGGTAATTAGAGGTGTATACGCTTGTAAATAATTAAATAAATTCTTGCCCTCCAAGTAATTGGAAATTAGGAATTAGTGATTTATTTCTTAATACTAATTCTATTTTCTTATAACCAAATCCACCAAATTATGAAAAAGTCAACGCCCTTTTTGGGAAAAAGTCGACCCAAAATTTTATTCAAATAAATAAACAGAATTATTAAATATGTGATTTAAAATGTTAATATTTTAAAAAAATAGGAATGGCAAATTTGTAAATTGGAAGAAGTGTGAGGGTGATTAGTGGGAATAGATATTTTTCCGTTGATTTTATCGCCGTTTGGGTATCTTTTGGCATATGCGGTCGCTTCCCGCTGTGGAGAATGGGGAAAAGGCACCTCCGTTATGGGGTCCCCGCCTTGCCCAATCATCTATTGCCACGTCATGAACTTTCTGCACAGGTGGCATTTAAAATTTTCAAGACCTTTTTTTGCTTGTAATTACAGAAACACCCCTCTTCTTCATATATATATATATATATACGTTTGTTTGGGCCCGAAAAGTTCAATAATTAATTGGGCTAAAAGCCGAGCCCTCTATATATATATATATATATATATATATATATACATACATTACTAACAAATGGGGAAGACTTAACTTATGATTTTCTTTTGATCTTTATAAAGCATTTGCATAATCATATCATCAAAATAAAGTGAGTTTTAAAGGAATTCCAAATAATAATTCATTTATTCATATATAAGTGAATAGCAACTATACAAAGAGAAAAGAAAAAGAAGAAGAAAGAGAGAGAGAGAGAAAACCATTGAAGGGGATTATTCAGATTCCTTCAATTTTCATATGCTTGATTCTCTGAAAAAACTGTTCTCTGCCTAATGTTCTCACCTGCTTCATATACAAATCAAATGTTATAACTCCATCTTCAACTGCTTTATCCAGTGAATACATCAGATCATCTATGGCAATATCTGCAGCCAAACTATCAATAACAGCCTTTGACGACTCATCATCAGCCTCAAAAGCATCCTCCTCCACTGATTTTCTCTCATGATCACTCACCCACTTCATGATCTTATCTGTATCCTCTCCCAGTTTCATAACCTTCTCGTTCAACCTCTCGCCTTCTTTCTCCAGTTCACTAATCATTCCTTTTGTTACTCGAACTCTTTTGTTCATCTCTACTTGCAATCTTGCTAGCCCTTCAATTTCCTCCTCCGCCTCCACCTTCAAGGCTAACATATCATAGTGAAGCATACCAATCAGCCGGTCTAGAGCCTCTGATTTCGACACGAGAGAATGATGAGAAAAACTAGGAGTACTTGAACACGCAAAAGGATGATCACAGGCAAAGATTTTAACAAGTTTGTTGACAAAATCAACTAAGCTGCATCGTGGGTATTCCCACGTAGAAAGATAAGGTGGAGTGACAGCACCAGAAGTGTCAACAAATGGATGGTTCGCATGAATTTGAGTCTTGGGGTCCGGTGATGAAATAAAGGCTATAGGAGGCATGTAAGGATAGTTTTGGTGGAGCCAGAGAGTTAAGGGTATGGGAGGAGTTCTGTTGGATTTGGATACCTTTAGAAAGCCTCTAACATTTAAAAGGTTCACAGAAGTGCCATCATTGTGGTTGAAAGTATCAGCTGAAACCTTGAAATTTGGATAGTTTTGGAGGAGAGAAAGAAGGTGCCTTCTAATAATCCATTTTTGTTCTGGGTCTGAGTAGGATAGAGTAAAGCTGCTGCTGCTGCTGCCAATTAGGGCTTTTTCAATGAATTTGATAGGGGATGATGGTGCCATTGGCTGAGCCACAAAAGAGTTTTATCTTACAATTTGTGTTTGATTGTCAAGGAAGAATCTATAAGCTGTTGTACACACAAAATGGAATATATACGACATTTCCTTCTCTGAAGTCTATCTAATAAATATCTATTATATAAATATATATATATATGTATAAAGGTGTGGTCTTTGCTTGTGAAATCAAGCAATCAAGTTTCCTGATGGCTTCCTATTGATATACAAGTCAAGACAACTCAAAGAACCTACCTCCTTCTTTCAATATAAACATGGATAACTTCCCTGCTAACTTATTGAGATTTGACCTTGTCTGCTGTGATTTGGCATCAATGTAATAGAACCTGTAAACAAGACTTCAAAATCAGTTCATAATTAAAAATAAACATGATAATTTAAAAACATTTTCAAATTGAAATTGCTTCAAGCTTTAGCTTTCTATCGTTGACCAAGTAATTTGTTTATTACTAACCATCTTTTCCTGGTTGTGGGATTGCTGAACTTGTGACAATCAAAATATTCCCACTGTTTTTCTGGAGTACTGGAAAATCTCAGTTGACTTCTGATCAAATAATTACTGAGGAAATATACATGTACATATACATATTATATTATTTGAGTGGTTAACGGAGTACGTGATCATCAAGTTTTGGCCATGTTCTACATTGGGTTTGACCAAAATCAATTGCATGGCAATCCAGTTGCATAATACAGTGGACAGAACAGTGTCTGGTCCAAGTTTCTACAAAAAATTCACTGTCAAATTCTCATATAAAAACACTTCAATCACAACCTGCAGTATCTAATATGATGAACAAAAACAAGAAATGATTCATGAATCTACAAGTCATGTATAGACATAACAAATAAGTATATATATAACCTTATAATATTCATTCTATTCAACAAAAAACTAGACTTGAAACGAATCAAGCATGGTCTTGAGAGTTTTCTCAGATGTCTGCCACTGCTTATCATTAGCACTAGCCACAAACAACACCACTGTATTTCCTTTGGCTGTTGCTTTTGCAAGATTATGTGTGCCCGTCAAAGCAAACGGCGTTTCAAGCACATACTTGTAATACTGCCAAACAACAAAAACAATAACCTATTGTCAGCATAATCCAAATTACACGCCCATGCAGCAAAGCAACCACTGGGCGCACGCGGGCGCGAGCGGCGCAGTAACCACTGGACGACCACTAGGAGCACACACGCAAGCGGCTCCGCAACCACTAGACGCGCGCGCGCGCGAGCGGCGCGGCAGCCACTCGACTGGCCCGCACGCGAGCGACGGGGCAACCACTGGGGCGCGCGCGCGGGCGGCGGGTGTGGGCCGTAGGGGAAAAGAGTTTATACCGTCTGGTCGCCACGAGTTTCAACAGAAGTCTCCAAGAGCTCATCTGGATCGTAGGAGTTTCCGGTGACAAAAGGGCCGAGAGAGGAAATCAATTTCTCCGGACTCCCAATATCCTGAATCGTCGCATTGGGCTTGTTTGTTAGGCGAATTAAAGGAGAAGCCACGACTTGTACCTTCCCTTGTTTCTCATCTTCGAATTTCACTTCTACCCATGGCTCTGCACATTTTGGTTGACAGTAATTCCCCGATAATATGTTAGCTACGCGAGCCTGCTTCCATGTCGGCGGCAGAATAAACTGGTAAGGCTGCACATTCCCTGCAACAAACTAAATATCAAGTACATACCATGAGTACATACAAGCACCTGCATTATATCCATATGTTTAATTGTAGCAGTGAATGGAGAAAAAAGTAGTACCGGCGCGGAGGGCAGGGGTGTCTTTGGGAGAGGCTTTGAAGAGGACGAAAGAAGGGTCTGTGGTTGATGGAGGGAGATAAGAACCCACTTCAACTTCTCTAGCTTCTGAATTGGGAACCCCTTTGATCAGAATCAGAGGTAAACCGAGTACTCCTTTCAACAAGTCTCGCCTCAAATTGAGCTGGTTTCGGTTGTGGGTAAATGTTGGTGATGGTGAAGTTGGCGAGATTTTGAGTGAAGATTTGGAGGAGTTTGAAGAGGTTGAGAATGCTGCGGGAATTAGAGTCATGGAAGCAGCTGCCATTTTTGCTTTCAAGAGAGAAAATGATGGACACAGAGGAATTTGTAAAGAATGGGATTCAGATAGCCATTCTCTTATCCACTTCTTGGCTTTGGAAAAGGCCAAAGTGGGAATTCCAAATACTTGTATTCATATTAACCATTGATGAGTATGTTATTATTCTTTGGCTTGTATTTTCTTGTCATATAAGGCTATGGGATGAAACTATATAAATTTGATTCTCTGTAAATGTTGCTTGATTTATTAATGTGATTAATAAATCATCTTGATGATTAAGTATGTCATTATAATTATGATTAAAGTGTTTAATTATATATAATCAATATAATTTATTTAAATTTACGATTTAATTTACTACCGAATCTAATAAGCCAAACCCTTTTATTTATAATAAAATAAGATAGTATTTACATTATATCAAGAATCTTAGAATCTCCGTTGATCTTAATAAGACATTGATTAAATCTTAACGACTATCGATAAGGTCTTAATTAAATCTTTTGCTCGATCACAGGTAAATGTTGATTATGTGTTAATATTAATCATTAAAACAAGATTATAAGAATGGTTCACATATTTTTATTAAAAAACTATATATCAATTTGTTAGCAAATGGAGTTCATGTTTATATCGACTAACATATATAATAAAAATCATAAAATAATTTTATATAGATAAAAATGCACCCATCAATTATTTTTATGGTTATTCGATTACTTGATTAACATAAAGATCATTTTTGATCTCGTATGAATAATGAAGAGATTTGGTCCGAAACTACCTTATCTTAGTATAGGTGTACTAATACATCTTGCTAATGATACTTTTCGAGTATAATATTTTTTTGTAAACTTATTAGCAAGATATACTTCTTCCCCTATAAAAAGATACTAAAATGAAAGTAAAGATATTTAAGATACTTTCGATGAACAATAAACATAGATTTATTTTATTCAAAATAATCAAAATAACAATTAATTATTTATGCAAATAGAAAATATTTATCTAATCCACGTAAAGTTATATCCCAAATGATATAGACGGTTTAGAAAACAAATAATTATTATTATTTCTTTAAAGTATGTAGAATATTTGCTATTAACAAAGTAAGTTCATAATGTATATGGCCGATATCAATTATTTAACATATACAAGAGACACACGATCTACTTTATAAAAGAAATGTGTCAACGATGCATTACAAGATAATATTACATCCATAACTTAACTAAAAAGATAATATATTTTTAATAAAAAAATTTTAAAATTATTTTTCATGCACGATCTTCAAAAAAATAATAATGACGATATTTAAATTCAACAAATTCGTTCAAGTGAAAACTAAGCCGATTTATTTATCAAATAATTATCTACAATTATATTTAAGAAATTAGTACACAATATCGATATGTATCAGAGATGTGAGTTATTACATATTTTTTTCGCAAAAATTCTATACCACTGAGTTTTTTCAGTAAAATTTTTAACGAAACGAATTTTTTATTCTAAATGAACATACAAAGGGAGAGTCTTATGAACTCTTCGAATATCATGAGCTATGCATGTTCATACATACTTCTTCTCATCCTATGATAACTTCATATTTAGTTCATGACTTCATATAACCCTATAAATAAAGGTCGTAAAAAACTTTGTGATATGGTGAATTTGAAAAAAGATTTTTTTAATCTACTTTCTTATATTATTATATTATTTCTTTTATATTCCCCTATTACATTTACTACCATATTTTCTTCAAATTTACAACAAAATTCCAATAAATTGTTTGGGTGTGTCACCTAACAATCTTGTTATATATCAAAATTAATTCAACATAGAATACTTTTTTTTATTTGAATTTCCCAAACATTTAAGCCTACAAATTTAAATTATATTCTCTAACTCCATCACTTTACAAGACAGATAAGGCAAATAATCAATTGGTTATTGCGATAATATATTAATTCCATTAGAAGATATCATAATTATAAGCTAATTAAAAATAATATTATGGAGTCGAAAAAAAAAAGAGATTAAAAATCAGATTGATTTTAACCGTTCGATTAAAAATTCAATAAAATTATATTTTTCTGTACAAAGGGTTACAGAGAACGTTTACTTATAAAAAGGAAAAGAATCGCGAAAGCATTCTAAAGAACCGTTAGGCATTAAAAAGAAAACAACAACATGATTTCGATCTGTAGATGTAAGCAAAAATCGAAAACATGATTTATGTTCTTCGTCGAGATTCTACAATTTTGAGAGTTAATTTTGTTCCAGAAAGAATAAAACCATCTAGGAGTACAAATCTAATCCAAAAATCTATGAGGCTTTTCCTCTTGCTTCGATTTCTAAATGATAATACTCTATAGACAAAATCCCATTGTTCAATCAAATGAGAGAGCTCTATTTCAAGGACTTGATCCCTTGATCTTGTGCTTATATCACAGCCACTTTTTTCCTTACAACAAATACATCGACAATTTTGATAAACCCTAAAGGCCGACCCAATATGAACGACCGTTGCTGTTGTGGATAGGAGACTGGAAGGGAGAGGTTACACACCATTCGTACCAAACCTATGTCACAGTCCCAGGAAAGTTATAAGCATGAAATTATCGCTACATGTTTCAAGTCCATGTTTATGAGGATCCTCAAAAAAAAAAAAAAAAAGCATGTGAAGGAGAGGTGTAAATTCTGAAAAACCCTACCGAAATGTCTCAATCACGAGAGAACCAAAAAAATAACAATAATAATGTCACAGAAAATATTATCGTAAAAAATTGATGCAATAAAATGTTTACCTTGGTAGAACCAGAACAACGCCAAAAATGTACTTCTAGAAGAGAGCCAGGTTGTGCATATATTGGCTTTCTTAGTGGAAAAAATATTGCAAACCTGAAAAAAAATAGCCCAGATAAGAATAACGAAGAAAAAGGTAAAATGCAGAAGAAATGCAAGCAAATATTAAAAACAGTTGATAGAACTTCAGAAGATTACAGTTACCGGGACGCACTCAAGGTTGGTCTGACTTATAATGCATTTCACCAAAATACATTGTTTATTAAGAGAATTAAAATTTTGATCCTACTTAACAATTTTAAAGAAGAGAATGATGTTTTACTTTTTAGAATCAACTGCAAAAAAGCCTACAAAGAGCATTATTACCAGTGACTACATATTTTTATTTCTTAATTCTTAAAATCCATCACAAGTCGTGAAAGTAAAATCTGAACGCAAATTTAAAGAATTACATGATTAACACAGTGAACATGTCAAACGAAAAGATATCATTATGGATCATTATGGATGAAATATTAAAAATTTAAAGAGGACCTTATGGCTTACCAGCTGAACATGTTTGGTGTTGCCGTAGAGGGTTCAATGCCAAGATGTACATCTTTATAGAGTACAGCATCAAAATAGCCAGCAAATCCTTTGTTGTGTGTATAAAGAAGTCAGGACCAAAACCCAAATAAAAATACATTGAAGTGAAAGAATACTACTTCACCAAAGAATACTTAACAAGTAATAAACAATTGGTTGGCAGATAACCATCTGGCTTCACAAAATACCATTTCAGCAAGTACAGAAAATCATGAATCTCTATTGTTCCTTCCACTTATCAAGTTGTCCATGTTTGTACATAACTAGATACAAGCATGGATACACACAGATATAACATTATTCATTCCCTTTGACATTGTCCCTTCATGATTAAGTGCTGGTATTCCTATATTTTAGCAGGTGTATTCTCTGCCGACTGATACTATGTCATGGGAGAGAGACATTTAAAGAAGAAAAAAAAAAAGAATTTTTCCAGGATATTTGTCTTCACTTCTAAGTATAGAAATAAAAGCATACCATGCACCAAGACTGACCCAGTATCATTAGGAATCTCAAATAGCAGCTTTTTGTAACGCTGGTTGCTTTTCTTACTTGAGTAGTCTGGATGAGTAAATGTGAATACCTATTAAAGATGGCAGACAATTTAAGAAAAACCCAAATTAATAACTGGAAGTATGTCAATTTTGAAGTTTTCAGGCAAATAAAGAAACATCACATAAGACATTAATTTTACGGTTAACTAAACGCCAACATTATGAATGTCTATAATGTGAGTCAACTCAACTAAGCCTTAATCAAAATAGTTGTCTCTACAAGTAACTTCAAGAAATTCAATCATATAAACTGATAAAGCACCATTATGTTCTCATTGTTTCAGATTAACCAGAAGTAAGAACTCACAGGTTGAGAAGGAGCAAGTCTTGCAACACTGTGCAGTTTGACAACATACGCAGTTTCAAAATGGACAAGATCTTTATGCGACTTAACCTATAACACAACCACAAGCAATCCAAATATATTTTTATAATGAGATAATCTAAAGAATAAAGGGAAAGGATTATGGTAAGATAAACTAAAGAATAAAGAGAAAGGCATACATCATTATATAGTTTTGAAGCTGTCACTGGTTGGATGAAACTTGTGTACCTGAGAGAGGCATTTGACAAGGATGGGAGACAAACCATGAACATTAGTCTAGGGACAGAGAACTTTAAATATCAGAATTATCACCTGCCAAAATGCCTGGGACAGATGAATTCTAGACTTATGAAACAGTCTCAACTATAACATTTCGATATCCATAAGATTGATCCATATAGGAGGCGTCCAATGTCATTCTGAAAATTAAAGCTTTTAACTACTAATAGCATGGACCTATTATATTGTTTGGTTAGCTATATCAAGATTACTCTTTGATTAGGATTAATCAAGTTATACATTGATTTATTGGTCGCGGTTATGAATTGATATTGCAGTCTTATCTGTAATCACCAATTTTATTATTAACTTTTTCTTTGAAATAAAAGAGTGAGATCTATTGATATGATGGCGCCAAAGGGACGCTGCCCATGTACAAAAATTTACAGATCAATAAGAATATCTACAGCGGAGCCAAAATCATCAAGACTATCGAGTGAGTGCCCCAAGATAATGGAACCAAAAATACGGAACCATTTATCCTCGATAGAAATAACAAATGAATTAGTGGAGATAACGATAGAGAAGTGAACAAGGATCATTTTGATTTCGGACTTCAAGCAATTAGATACTAAGTTTTGGATCCAAATGCCTTTAATCTGAAAAACAATAAAATGTAGAATTCTTTCACCAAATAGGCTTAATTATTATTTATTGAAATT